TGTGTGTGTGTGTGTGTGTGTGTTCCTTCATGAACAAATGACAACCATGAATTTGACAACACAGCATGTGCGTCACTCAGCTCTCGTCTGTGTCAAGCCCAGAAAAACAGGCTCTCTACCCTGAAGAGGTGCGTTTCTGCATGGTGGTGGCACTGCCAGTAAGGTGGAGGGGAATGAACTGTGTCAGTTTTTCAGAGCAAAATGGAGGAGCCATCTCGTGGCACTGGGGAGGGGGGGAGGGGGGGTGATTAGTGTTGCTGCAGACAGATGAAAAAATTATTCTGAGGAGCTGTGATGGATGAGAGGTTGTGAAAAATAATGTGTCTGTCTCTGTTTGAAAGTCTGGAATAAAGAAATCCGCATTGATTCAATGTGCAACATTCTTACTTGTTTCTTGGAGGAATATATTCTTAATCTAGTCGACACCAACTGTATATTGAATGTAATCACCACAGCTTCACACTGACTATGATTGATAATCTCACTGCAGGACCGTGAATTTGCTGTGTCAATTCCAAAGGCTGAGTACTTCGAAAACCTAATTTCAGAGTTTCACATGACTGACGTCTGTGTAAATATCCGAGGTACCTTTCGCCGCTGTGCCTCGGTGCTGCAGCCGTGTGTACACATTATTTTGACAAAACCTGAGCCCGTGGACATGGAGAGAGAGAGAGAGTGCAATAATACGCAGACAGATTGAGGAGGGGGTGAAAATTGAGAGGGGACACACAAGGGAGCCAATGTCAACAACAGTGGCCATGATAAACCTAACCTGGTGGAAAAGTGCACGTGTGTGCATGTGCGCGAGTGGAATATGTCCTGCATGTGTACCAAAGAGAAAATATGCCCTTATCAGATCCGTCCAGACCAACATTCCCCAACAACGGCTGAGATGCATAAACACCCCCCCTCCCCTTGAGATTCCCGTGTTTTTGGGTAATTACTTTGCAGATGAGTGGCGGGGGGGCTCCTCTTCCTCCTGCTTTTAAACGACCTGGCCTCGGTCAAGAGCTTTCCAATTTTTCCTGTGTTGCTAATGTGCACTTAAATGCAGCTTTGAATCAGGGGCTATTTGTTGTGCGAGTCATTAATTACTGTTAGAGTTTACCTATCAGTGGTTGGCATTAATCATCTCTCATAATTACTGTGATTGTATGAATGGGCAGACTTTGCAGAGGGCAGGTTTCATTGTATCCCTGGAGGACGACCACAGCAGGCGTGGCGGTCCTGTTTTAGTGCAAAGCTAACACGTGAAAT